TAAAACATTAGCTCTTCATTACTAACCATCTCAATATCTACTATTTCACTTTTTACCTCAACCTTTGCTATTCTCTCAATTTCTATTAATTTATTTAATTAAATCCTACCAAAACTAATTAATTAAGCACAAACCACCACAAATGCCGACATCACCCAACACGTCATAAATAACATAAAATAACTATTTAAATAATTTAATAAATTAAATCAAATAAATAATTAAATAAATAGAAGGCTAATTAAGTTAGGGTGTTACAACTCTCCCTCACTTAAAGAATTTATGCCCTCGAAAATTACCTGATGAGAAAAGCTTTAGATAAGACTCTCTTATCATACTCTCGAGCTCCCATGTCACACTGCCAACAACATGACCTTACCAAAAAACTTTCACTGAAACGATCTCATTGCATCACAAGTCCTTCACTTTGCAATTCTCAATTCTCAACGACAAAGTCTCAACTGTAAAATTCTCTCTAACTTGCACATCATCCAACTGGATCACATGAGACGAATAAGGAATATACCTCCTCAATTGAGACACATGAGACACATCATGAATATTTAAGAGGTACAACAATAACGCAACTCAGTAAGCCACCACTCCTACTTGCTACTAAATCTGAAACAGAATAATCAAACACGGTGTAAGCTTCTTATACTTCAATGCACGACTAACACCATTTGTCAGGGTAATTCTCAAGAATACATGATCTCCCTTTTGGAACTCAAGCGTTTTCCTCCTCTTGTAATGATATCTATTCTGACGACTTTGTGAAGATTTTATCTTCTCATGGATCATCTTTATCTTCTCAATAGTCTGCTGAACTATCTCATGTCCAAGCTCAGCACTCTCACCAGAATCATACAAATACAAAGGTGTTAAACACATTCTACCATATAACACCTCGAACGGTGCCATTCCAATACTATAATGGAAATTATTGTTGTAAGTGAACTCAACCAACGATAAGTAACATTCCTAGTTACCTCCTGCTCCAAAACACAAGCTCTCAGCAAATCCTCCAAAGACTGAATAGTCCTATCGGTCTGCAGATGATAAGAAAAACTAAACTTCAACTTAATAACTATATCTTCCTACAACTCTGCCAAAACCTCAATGTAAACCTCATATCTATATATAAAATAATACTCGATAAAATACCATGTAAGCTAATAACTTTCTCATTATACAACTCAACTAACTTCAACAAAGGATAACTGGTCCTAATTGGAATGAAATGAGATGATTTAGGCAGTCTGTATACAATAACCCATATAAAATCACATCCTTTTCTCGTCTTCAGTAGACTCCTCACAAAATCCATGGAAATGCTATGCCACTTCCACTAAGGAATACTCAACAGTTGAATCAACCTATACATTTTATGGCAAGTCAAACATGCATAAACGAACTCATATACTTCTTTCTTTATTCCATGCCACCAAAACATTTTCTTCAAGTATTGATACATTTTAGTAACATCGAGATGAATACTCAAACCACTCTTATGACCTTCCTTAAGAATAATCTTCTTAAAATCTGACATATCATGTACGCAAACTTTGTCTCTGAACCTCATCATACCATTCCAATTTATCCTGAAATCACCCTTTTTAGAATGGTTGATTAACACTAACTACTAAATCAATCCCATGTCGATTTTATGAACTTTTTAAATTTCTTCAAAGATACCACTGGTCAGCTTCAATATGCCAAACTTCGCACTGTTAAAAGTATCTTCACCCACCAAACCCAGATATCTGAATTGCTCGATTAACTATAATTCTCAAACCATAAGAATCAACATATGCAACGAATTTATACTCAAAGCATCAACTACAACATTGGCTTTACCAAGATGGTAACTTAAGCCAAAATCATAATCCTTCGGAAACTCGAGCCATATCCTCTGTATCATATTCAACTATTTATGATTGAACATGTACTTCAAACTCTTGTGGTCACTGAACACTTCAAATATGGAATCATACAGATAACGCCTCCAAATTTTCAACATGAACACCACGACTGCCAACTCTAGATCATGCATATGATCATTCCTATCATGAACTTTCAACTGCCTTGAAGGATAAGCCACAACCTGATCATTATGATGTAACACACCGCTTATACCCATATTCAAAGCATCATAATACATAGCAAAGGATTCACTTGGACTTGGAAAAATCAAAATTGGAGCAGACATCAACTTCTTCTTGAGTTCTTAAAAATTCTCTTCACAATGAACAATTCACATATATGATTGACCTTTTTGAGTAAATTGAGTCAAAGGCGATGCTAACTTTGAAAATCCCTCTATAAACATTTTATAGTAACTAGCCAAACCAAGAAAACTTCTAATCTCAGCAACAGACTTCAAAGTCTTCTATTACAACACTACATCTATCTTCGATGGATCAACAACAATACCACCACTAGAAATTACATGACCAAGGAAACTCATTTCCTTTGACCAGAACTTACACTTAGATAACATCACATATAACCTCTTATCTTTCAAGGTTTGCAACACAACTCTTAGATGTTCCATACGTTATTCATCAGACTTAGAATATATCAAAAAATTATCAATGAAAATAACCACAAATTGATTTAAGTACGAATGAAATATTATATTCATGTACTCCATGAATAATTCATGCGCATCAGACACACTAAATGGTATCACATAATACTCATAGTGACTATATCTCATTCTGAATGCAGTCTTAGGAATATCATATGACTTTACTTGAATTTGATGATAACACGAGCGTAAATCAATCTTGTTAAACACACAACCACCAACCAATTAACCCATCATATCATAAATTCTCGGAAGTGGGCACTTATTATTGATAGTAACCTTGTTCAGCTGTCGATAGTCAAAGTAAAATCTCATGCTACTATCTTTCTTCTTAAGTAACATCATCGATGCTCCCCACGGTGAAACACTTGGTTGAACAAACTCCTTCTCAAGTAACTCTTCTAACTATTTATTCAACTCACTCATTTCTGAAGCAAACATCATATAAGGAGCCATCGACAGATGACTGGTACCAGTTACTGAGTCTATAATAAACTCCACCTCTCACTCCAGCGACAAATCACTAATTTCATTTGGGAACACCTCAAGAAACTCACACACCACAAGTAGATCCGTAATTACTCTATTGCTTTCCTTACTCAAGGACGCGAACACCATAAACAGATGAGTTCTCTCTCTCTCTCTCTCTCTCTCTCTCTCTCTCTCTCTCTCTCTCTCTCTCTCTCTCTCTCTCTCTCTCTCTCTCTCTCTCCCTCCCTCTCAAGGACATCTCCACCTACGTTACAATCATGAAACTCGACTACGTACTCTTTTTGGATTCAAGAAACTTCAACGATTTATCAAAATAATCGATAAACACACGGTTGAACTCCAACCAATTCATTTCCATAATAACATCAAGTTGACTTAGAGGAAAACAAACTAAATGAATCCCAAAATATATACTCTATCATAATTTGTCAAAGGACAATTCAAACACACAAACGAAGTAAACAACACAACCTCATCCAACAACCCGCACTCATGCAATCAACGACACGCTGAACTAACCCTCCATACTTGAAACATCTTAGAGAAACATAAACTTCTCCCCCTATTATTTCAATCCGCTTCTGCCAACAAGCAGTTTGAAAAACAAACGAGCACCGACAATGTTTCACACACATGTCACATACTAGTGAACAAACAACATAACACAATTTGGCCGGATGGATCGACCTGCTCTGATACCACTATGTAACACTCTATTTCCTGACTCAACAAAAAGTTAAAGTGTTTGAAGATGAATTGTCCATGAGCGGAGTGAAAAAGCTTGTAACGAATTTTAATATGTTTCTCTTGGATCGTTTATGTGCATCATGTGTGAATTGTCAATCCTTGTTTTCTTAAGTCACACTTTTCCAATCTCCTCCAAATGAACAGATGGGTAATTAACTAAGTGGTAATACATGGTCTTTATACCCATAATATAACCCAAGAGCTCGAGTCAAGACCAATTATAAGATGATAATTTCATATATATTTCCTAGAACATACCTGATAAAACAATAATATAGGATACTATAATTAAAGTCTAACTAATAAATGTAACACGAAAGTAATAGGTCGATATATCCTGAAAAAGAAACCTTAGAATATAATCTATTGAAGTTCGAATGAGTAAGTAATTGTATATAATCCATTGAAGTTCGAATGAGTAAGTAATTGTATCATATTATGTTTGTTGATGTTTAGGCTTTGTTTGAGAGGGGAAGAGAAAACTTTGGGGAGGAAACTTGTAAACAAAAAAAAAAACAAAAATGTATTAAATTTTTTAATATTATATTTTTGTTTAAAATGATAAATGAATGTTTAGAATTAATATATTTTTAATATTTTAATATTATAATAATAATAAAATACATTTGAAGAAATTATGTATGTTTTCCAAACTAAATAAAAATTGAGTTTTACAAATAAAGAGATTTTGTATTATAAATAAAAATAAGGTTTAATTGCAACTTTAGTCCTCCTATTTTATATCTGTTTGAGTTTTGATCCCCCTACTTTAAAAACCACCATTTAGGTTCCCGTTTTAAGTTTTGAGTTTGATATTTGTCCCCTTGCCATTTTAAGTCATGCTTTTAATGATCTGGCGCGTTGAATAAAGATGTGACATTTATATGTCATTTTAAAATGGTCTTATTCACCAAATATCATTTTCATGTCATTTATTTTTTAACATTAATTTAAATTAGACATTACAATTACTTGAGACAAATAATTTTCAGCAATTTGCAATTATTTTCAGAAAGATACACTCAGGAATGAAGATTCTTACTCTTCCCCTTTCACACACGAAGAAGAACCCTAATTAAAGATTATGCAGTTGTCGTTCTAAATCAAACTACAAATCAACTCATGTTGTCGTTGTGATGCACCTTTCGATGTTATTCCATTTACTCACGTGATGCACCTCGCGGCGCAGACTGGTGTTCGTTACGTTATGCAAAACCCTGGCTCGTACATGCACAATAACATCGCTGGTTTTGTGAATCTTCTAGAAGCTTGTAAATCAGCGAATCCTCAACTGGTAGTTGTTTGGGCTTCGTCCAGTTCCGTTTTTGGAGAAAGACCGAACCGACCAACCGGCGAGCCTTTATACAGCGACGAAGAAAGCCGGTGAAGAAATTGCGCATAGTTATAACCATATCTACGGACATTCGATAACCGCATTGCGATTTTTCACGGTATATGGACCTTGAGGTAGACCTGACATGGCGTATTTCGTCTTCACAAAGGATATTTTGAAGGGGAAAGTGATAACAATGTATGAATCACCAGATGGTGGAAGTGTAGCTAGGGATTTCACTTACATTGATGATGTTTTGAGGGGTTGTTTAGGGGCTTTGGATACTGCTAAGAAGAGTACTGGTGGTGGTGGAAAGAAAACGGGTTCAACTCAATTTAGGATTTTCAATTTGGGGAATACTGCACATGTTCCTGTGAGTGAGCTTGTTGCTATATTGGAGAAGCTTTTGAAGGTTAAGGCAAAGAAGAAGATTTTTCCTATGTCGAGAAATGGCGATGTTAAGTTTACTCATGCTAGTATTAGTTTGGCTCATAGGATCTTGGTTATATACCCACCACTGATTTGGAAACGGGAGAATCTTTAATTAGGGTTCGTCTTCGTGCGTGAAAGGGGAAGAGTAAGAATCTTCATTCCTGAGTGTATCTTTCTGAAAATAATTGCAAATGGCTGAAAATTATTTGTCTCAAGTAATTGTAATGTCTAATTTAAATTAATGTTAAAAAATAAATGACATGAAAATGATATTTAGTGAATAAGACCATTTTAAAATGACATGGAAATGCCACATCTTTATTCAACGTGCCACATCATTAAAAACATGTCTTAAAATGACAAGAGACTAATATCAAACTCAAAACTTAAAATAGAGACCTAAATGGTGATTTTTAAAATTGGAATTTTTCACCTAAATAACCAACATTTTACCCCCAAAATTCCAATATACCCAACATTTCACCATATATACCAATCTACCCATGTTTCACGTATTTTTTAAAATTTGTACAGAGGCGCCATGGGTGTTGGAGGCACCCTTATAAATTATAGGGGGCGCCATCCCCTTTGGAGGCACCCTATAATTTATAAGGGGGGAGCCATCCCCTTTGGAGGCACCCCTTATGAGTTAAAGGGGGACGCCATCCCCTTTGGAGCCCCCTTTATTTCATTTAATTTTTTAATTCTAATATAAATAATATAATTAATATTTAATACTATTTTAGACCAAATTTTTTTGTATAAATAGTTAGACTTGTTTCATCCAAATTTAGGAGAGTGAGTCATGTATCTTAGAAGATATGGGCATGTAATTTTTTCAAGAACGAAGTCTCTGATAAGGATGTTGTTTTGGAACATCCAGAGTTTATAGCAACTACGAAGAAATTTGAATCGGTGGTTAGAAGGAGACATTCCAAATGGTGAAAGCATTAGGAGTATTGAAAGACTTGTCTCGTACTTTTCTGTTGACGATGGAAATATACGACGGGAGTGGGTGAGAATTAGATATGATAACACAGTTAGGTCTATGATGTTCAGAACTGATGATATTACTTTTATTGTTGTTATATCTTAGTTTATGTTGTAATAATCGTTATATTTTTAATGATTTGCGTTGTTGCTCTATAAGTATTTAAATTTGTTTATGTGGTAATCAAAAGTTGTTATAAATATTAAATTCCAAGGTTACACATTTTTTTAATGACCAAATTAAATCTATCTAGAACTTGTTCCAACATTTGGACAATTATTCCTCGTATGCCCGGGAAGACGATATATTCCGCACAATCTTTCCATTTTCTTAGTTGAATCCATTTCAGTTGTAATTCGTGTGCTTTTGGGACGGCCCTTTTTGTTTCTTCTCATATTTTCGTTGTGGTAGATTGTGTCTCCATGATAGGGTGGCCAACATTCTTCACTAGCTACCACTTGAAAACTGTTATTGTAGATACCAAATAAGTTCACGACCTTGTAAACTTCGGACAGTTGTAAGAATGGATCGTGACGAGCACTGGAATATGCGGCAATGACATGTGAACAAGGCATGCGGAAGGTTTGAAACTTTCCGCAGTCGCACCAATTTTATGAATTTCCACCCTGTACTGTCCCATTGGCCGACCCTCATTGTGATCCATTGTCTCATTAACAATGAAGTTGTAATCGTGACGATCAAATGGTCTAACTCGATGTGAGGCCACCTTAGAAGTTTCATCCTTCATATATTTCATACATGATTCGCTGAATATTTTCCCTGATTCCAAAACAGTGCTCCATTTTTTGCCTCTTGCCGCAAAAAGTGACCCCAATTTGTAATAGGTTTCTCTTACCAACGCAATGATGGGGAGGTTCCTAGTTCCCTTAAATACATTTTTTAGGGATTCTACAAGATTTGTGGTCATGTGACCCCATCTGCATCCTCCATCAAAAGCCCTTGTCCATTTCTCGACTGGAATACTATCCACCCACCTTAATGCTTCCGTGCTTGACAATCTTATTTCTTCGCGATAATACATGAACGATGGTTGGTTTAAGGCATACCCAGTGTTCATAACTTTTTTACGGAGATTTCTGTCTTTTATTTCCCGTATAAAATTCCGAGCAATGTGTCTAATGCAGTAGACATGGACAGAAGGAGGATTGTACCAACCATTAGCAGGATTGTTGTAGGCGCTCACAATAGAGGCATGTCTGTCAGAAATCAGACATAAGTTGGGTTGAGGAGCGACATGTGTTCTGAGATTTTCGAGGAAGAAAATCCAAGCTTCACCTATCTCACCCTCGACCAGAGCAAAGGCAATCAGAAATATATTATTATTTCCGTCTTGTGCAACCACCATTAGCAATGTGCCTTTGTATTTTCCATACAACCATGTTCCATCGACTTGAATGATCGGTTTGCAGAACGCAAAACCTTTGATACACGGTTGAAATGCCCAAAAGAGACGAGAGAATATCCTACTTCCATCAACACATGTTCCTTCAGGAGCGTATGCTGGAAGTGACTCCAATATTACAACTGTACCAGGAACATATTTTTGATGTGCTAGTAAGTACTGTGGAAGTTGATTGTAATATTTTTCCCAATTCCCATATACGTGTTCAACCGTTTTTATTCTTCCAATCCAAGCTTTCCTGTACGATGGGGTATAATTGAACCATGCAACAACATGAGAGATAATTGTGCTCACCTTCACAGATGGATCTACGCCCACAAGATGAAAAATCTCTTGGGATATCAATTGAGAGCTTAGTCTTCCATGATCTTGCCGATTGATGTTGGTTGTGAAACTATGAGGTGGATCCATCAAACCTATCTCCCAACAATCACTTCTTTTCCGATAGGACACTACTAACTGAAACTTGCAACCTTCGTTATGAAAAACTATGACATATCATTTTGAGTCATTCCGATTGATGTAAAAATCAATGAAGTTATCCATATGAAACTTTCTTATAGCTCTCATGCAGTCTTATTTTGTGCGGTACTTGTCTTCGACTTTCAAAACACCTTCAATTTGTTAAGAAGGATTGTAGAAAACATCTGAGGAAGTATCGTCTCCACTCAATTGCAAGTTCTTCATGTGTTAGGGAGGACAATACATATGACTTAATGGTAGTGTCTCCTCATCTATGTCCTGAAGCGGAGTTATTGCAATGTAGTCCCCAGTACCGAACAAATTAACCATTTGATCAACAATGGCCTCAGGTTCTTCTTCCTCCTCGTCCACAACATCAACTTCATCTACATCCGTTGTTTCACCAACTTCATGTTGAGTCTGGTAGAGTAACAGATAAACCTCAATATAGTCGAACCCAGAGTGTTCGTGACTATCAAACATTTGATCTACATCGCTGCCGTCTTGTATTTTCTCTTGAAAATACTTCACCTGATTGTTGTCAAAGAAAACAGGACTTCTATATATGATTTGAGAGATTGGACCAGACAATATCTTCGACTCTATTCGCTCTTTGAAATGAAAAAAATTTGATTTTCTACTCATTGTTAATCGTGTAACATCTGTATTTTGAAACCCAAAACCCGAATCCTCAGAGATGTAAGTGTCTCCATTAAAACGGGCATTAACAATATAATTTGTTGTTCTAGACATATTCGAATAAAAGTGTAAGAGATGTGTTTGCATAAAATGAGATGTGTTTGCATAAAATGAGATGTTTTTAATTTTTTATTGAATGTATACATATATAACAAAAGTGCACAAATAAAATATTAATAAATGGTAAAGGGAGGCGCCATAGGGGTTGACTCCCCTTCTTTAAAATTAAAGGAAGGCGCCATAGGGGTTGGCTCTGTAACACCCATTTTAATTGTTTAGTCTTTTTTGGTGATTATTTTATTTGGTGTGTCCTTAGGTGGGGTGTGTTTGAGTATGTGTTGGTAATTATCCTTGATATGTAAGGATTAGTCGTGGTGACGTGGAGGGAATATGATAATATAATAATTAATAGTAATATTGGTGGTATTATTATTATTATTATTATTATTATTATTATTATAATTATTATTATTATTATTCGTATTAATAATATTATTTTGGTGGAATATTATTATTATTCATATTATTACTATTATTATGAATATTATTATTAGTGGAAGAATAATATTAGTAGTACTATTATTATTGGATTTAAATAATAAAATAAGAAATAAGGGATTAAAGGAAATAGAGAAGTTTTGGGGAAAGAGAGGAGAACACGATAAACTAGCAGAGAAAGGATTTTGGGAGAAGAGAAAGAAAGTTACGATAAACAGTTTTGGGAGAAAAAGTGAGAAGAAGAACAAGGAGGAAGAGAAGGAGGCTAGGGCTGTCAATCCTTCAAGATCCTTCAACGATTGAACAATTAATCGAGGTAAGGGGGAGAAACTGATTGGGATGGTATATACATGAAATTGGGTAGAGGGAATTCCTTAACCCCATAGGTATTATGATTGATTCGTTGATTTGTGGATATAATGTTGATTGTTGTTGTTTATGATGAAATTATGCGTATATGATGATATGTGATGATTTATTGTTGCCATTAATGAATGAGTGTTGATGTTGTGTGATTTGGATAAGGTTCAGAGCAACTCTGAAGTGTTG